TGTGTGTGTGTGTGTGTGTGTGTCTAAATCCTGACAGCATTAAACTTTACTCTTCCACTTGCTCGACCTGATTCTTCTCACACTTCTCACAGTCGCCAAAGTTACAACCTCTGTTTAATCAGGCAGCTGGTTAAAGTTTCCAAAGAGTGTTCAGACGCTCTGTCGCTGAGTGTGAACGTATCAGAATTGAAATATTTCAATATGTTTGGTCCAATGAGTTTTAATTTTCTTTCAGATTTAGTCAATGTGCAGACGAACGCATCGTATCAGTAAACAGCCAAAGACAAAGATCTCAGAGACTCTGTGTTTCTGATGGAGCTGATGACAACATGTGTTTTACAGACTCTTCAGGAACTTTGGGAAAGTACCTGTGACCATTCATTCTGATGCTGGAAGCAGCGTGTCGGTTACTCACCGCAGAGGTTTCCTCTGACCTCGGCTCAGTTGGTTTCACGCTCTGCATGAATTTATTTGAGTCCAGTGACTCTAAAACTGAGCTGAGAGTTTATTTGTTCATGTGACAGAAGCAGGTCTGGAGGGAGATTTCACAAAGCAGCAATTAAACAGCAAAGACTTTCACGTTCTGCCCCGAGGAACAAATTAACAGTATTAATAAGAATTCAGGGGACCAGCAGTGTGGAGCGGTCAGTGGGGGCGGGGCAGTGTGCCGTCAGTCCTAGGACCGAGCCGCACACGTCTTCTTCTGTGTCCCCAGATAAACTGTCCCTCCAGCAATAAGATCTGTCCTACCAGAAGTCAGATTCATTTATAGAATCATTTCCTCTTGTCCACAAAGTAAAAGCACAACATCTGCTTGATTGCTGCAATACTTCATGTGGGGCAGAATTACAGAGCTTTTATTTTGAAACGTTTGCGTAGCAGATGTTTCTGACGAGCAGAACCGACCCTGACTTAAATTTAGCATCACATTTGTTTTCTATCTGACAGAGATGTGACTGAAGTGTTTATGACAGCGATCAGAAGAGGGTGACGTTAACTAACTCGAGTGAAACTGACTCTAATTATCTCTTCGACCTCTGCGTGACACCGACGGTCTGGCTCGGAGTCGTTTTTTTCGAGTTCATCCGTCTGATTTTTTATCCATCTGACGTTACTGGCAGGTCTGTTAATGTGTTTCTCTGTGATGGCTGATGGGTAACGCAGAGCTCGCAGAGAGGATCTTCACTCCCTCACGTAATCCTTGTTTGGTCCCGTCGGGCCACAGAGACGCTCGGAAACCAACCAGGTATCCGCATCAGATGCAACCTTCCTGCGCTGAGCGAGCTGTGTGGTGAAGCGCCGCGAGGGGAAAGAGGATTAGTGAAGTCAGACGTGGTGATGTGGCAGATGCTGACATCTCCTGAATCTGGCACTTAACAGAGACGTCAGCTGCACTCGGGCTCAAGCTGACTTTATAAATCAAGGCTGTTTCTGCGAAGCTCTGACGATTTCAAAATGTCCCAGTGAGCTGTGAGGTCTGGCAGCTCTTCACTCTGACATTAATTCAAATCTTTTCAGTTTATTTATCTTCATCATTTGGTGGTTGGAAAAAAACATCCAGAGTAAACACGTCAAAGGTTCGAACCCACTGATGTGCATGTGTCTGCAGCAGTGCCCTTCAGCAACACACTGAAACCCAGGCAGCAACTGGGGTTTACTGCCCAACTCCGATGGAGGGAGGAGGAAGAATTTCACCCGAGGGAACAGTTTTCCAATAACTTTCTCTTTCTCTCTGAAGCGACGAATCATTTTATCACATCTGGGACGTCTTTCAAAAACACCAGCGACAAGAATTTTTAACTTTTGGCCTGACTGAGCGGATCTTAATCCAGAACAATCCAGTGTCTTCTGTGAGAGAAAAACTAGAAGAATAACCTAAAATTAAAGTCTCCATGTTTCTGCCAGCGGGAAGAAAGAAGTAACATAATAAAAGACAAGCGAGAAGAGGAGAAACTATTATTATCAGAGGGCAGCTGTCAGCAGGTAATCTGCAGACGGGTCTCAATCACTGAGGGGCTCTGCTATTATTACAAATTGCTCACAGAGACGCCTCCCTGCAGACGCAGTGCACAGAGGCATGCTGGGAGGTAAAACCACAGTCCTGTGGTCGGCTACTAGAGGTCAAGTGACTGCGTCCCAAACCCGGAGCCGAGAGGGATGGAGGTGAGGGAGCCCCCCCCCCCCCCTCAGAGGAGCTCAAAGATCAATTACATGTTTGTGCACGTTTGTCCACACGACTTCCCCTCAGCGTTACGTCTGTTAAATAAATGGTGCAATCAGCATCGAACCTCTGACCAAGTTTCTCTCTCCCGCATTAGGCCGAAGATATTTTGTTTTTGAGACCGGAGGGAAAGAAGCTTTGAGCTTCTGACATCAGTTTTCTTTTCCTGCTTCATTAAAACGGTTGAAATGAGCGATGATTGGTTCCGGCTGCAGGACACGAGTCGCTGCTGCTCTTAAAAATACGTTTGCCGTTCAGCTGACGTTCGTTCATACAAACCAAGACATCGTCAACATATCGACGGAACAATAGGAACAACAAACCACATCCTCACTTTTACCTCATGAAGGAGGCATCACTGCACATGTTTCTAATTAATACAGAGAACTGAGTGTCATCATGAATTTGACCATTCACTTCTGGGACTCTGAAGATTTTGAGGGTTTTATTTTGGTAAAACAAAAGTTGATTTTGAAAGTTTGTCTAAGAGGTGACTGGTGTTTCAGATGACTTCAGAAGTCAGAGTTACTGCCAAACAACATTGTGGCTTTTCTGTTTCTGTTACTTGAATGAAATTGTTTACCGACTGAAAAACAGTGACTGAGGAGTCACTCATGCACACGATGTTTGATTTTCAAAGAGTTTTCTCGAACTTCACATTTCATCTTTCATCATTTCTCCAGTTCAAGTGGAAAAAACGCGACAGAATCAGCGGCGTCGACCTGCGGCCGAGCGTTTAAAGCGAGCGCCTATCGGTGGTTTTATAACATCCAGACGCCACAGATGGCCACCCCATCAATTAGAGGTTTGAACTGTACACAGTCAAAAACAAGAATAATAAAACGTAGCCGCGGCTTGTAGAGCTGCAGCATCATGTGTTTTACAACCTGCCGAGGACCATCTGTTTGCACGAGCTGACATAACTCTACTGAAACACGTCTGTAGTTGCATGTGAGGTGCTCTGCCTGTAATATACAACATATTAGGAATCTCAGGCATCTGTAAGATCCTTGGACGTCCAGCGAGAACAAAGCCTCCTGACTCTCTGTTTGATTCCGTTCACGTTAAACTGACTCTGTAATAATCCACGATGAGCGACATGGCCTCTGCTCTCCTGCTTCGTTTACCTTGTGGTAGCTTCCGTGGAAGATTTTCTTCACTTGACTGTTGTCGAACGTGACCCTCTGGATCTCGCCACGCTCGTCTTTGTTGTAGAAGGACACGGTCTGGCTGGAGGCTGAGAACAGAGAGAAGAGACATTTAAAGAAATGTTGCTTTGCTTAGTTCTTGTTTGTACGTCAGAGCTGCAGCTCTCAAAGTTCAACAACTTGTTTTTATTTCCATATTTTCCCCTCGCTGACATTAATAACACTTCAGTGAGTTTCCCTGCACTCTATCAAAGATGAAGCTGTGGCCATGAGGTGATTAGATTATCTCAGCTCCAGTGAGCAAAGCAACAAGTTGTCTTTTTCTTTCTTCACTGCTAAAGGCTCATTTCTTCTGCCTTGACCTTTCAGACGAAGAGAGATGTGAGAGTTTCCAACCATAGAGGTGGAGCAGTAATGATAATGTTCCTCCGAAGAAAGAGGCAAAAGTGGCCACTTAGAAAAGTCTATCTTCAAAAAGTTGTTGAACTTGAAGTGCTGGCGACACTGCCACTCTTTCAGAAGTCCTGTTCAAACGGGTCGAGCATAAATGAGCCTTGACTCTTCTGAAAAATGTTAAAATATTCTTTTAATAACAGTTGAGGATCTGAACCTCGTGTCGTCCAAGGGTCAACGACCAGAACAACGATCCGCAGCGGAGCGTTTCGGTCGGAGCTCGGCAGAGGGTCCTGCTGACAGACTGAAATCGAGACTTTACTCGAGCCAGCTGAGCGCGGCCGATGACAAAGACTCGGCTCAGTTCTCGACTGAGAGCGAAGCAGCCGGAGGGCACAGCCGGCTCATTACACGCCACTCAGCTGGTTTCAAGATCAGACGCGACTCAATGAGACCCAGCTGCTCCACATCCCTTCATACACTTCCACACTGTGTTTTCATGCCAGTGCCCTCTTCTCACCTCACACACATCAGAGGAGCGGAGTCGGACACTTACGGTCGATGGTGACGCCGGTCTCTGGCTTGTGGTCCTTGTTTGACACCTGCCAGATGTCGAAGGCCTCGCTGGGCGAGTCGGGGAGCAGGCGGAACAGGAGGATGATGGTGTAGGCGTGGGGGAGTCCGTCAGGGTGGACCTCTCTGTTCAGGAGACAAAAACAGACGACGTGTTGGACCGATCAGGAAAGTGGAGGTGATAGAACATGAGGAAGCATAAAGAGAAGTTTTAGAGGACAAGAGGAAGAAAAGGAAAGACAGGAGTCTCAGCATTCAGAACAGATTAATAACTGTTATTAAATTATTGACTAATTAACTAACAAATGTTTGGAGGCTTCAACCAGCTGCTCCTTCACTTTGACGTCATTCACTCACAAACTGTTTGGATCCGTAGCTTCACGTCTGAGTCATGTGAAGCAGGAGTTGAGCAAACCTCAGTTTTACAAGACTGACGCTGAAGCTCAGGAGGATGACTTGGACGTTCCACGGCGCCGTCATCCGGACTGACTGTACACGACGTCCACCCTTCGTATCCAGATCGTTACTTGCAGCCAGTAGTCACGTTCTTTTGCACTGAAGTGTTCTGAACTATCTATATTCAATCTGAAATCTAGTCTCTGAGGTTCAGCCACGTCTGTTTGAGTTCTGGAGTGCGAACATGTTCTCCATGTGTGGCTCTGATGTCACTACACACTCTGGAGAGTCAACGTCACAACTCAAGCTGTTTTCCACCCCTCTGGGATTCTGTGGTGTGGGCGGAGTCAGGCGTTAACAGGGGAGTTCGGAGCTGTTTTTGTTTTTTGGATGCTGCCGTAAACCCACTGACCCACTTCGTGAACGCAGCTGTGGACGACATGTTTCTCAAACTGACGACTCGGACGTGTTTAAAAGATTAACGACGACAGCAGATCTGCACCAAGGTCCAGGCAGGAAGTGCTGGTTGTGCTCAGCCGTGAAAGTTTCACGCTGCGATTTATATCACAAGTGTTTTGATGTTTAAGTTGTGAGAAGTTCATGCGACTGTATCACACAAAAACAATTAAGACATAATTAATCGATTACTGGATCATTTAAAAGGGTTTTCTGAATGAATGACTGTAAATCACAGTGATTTCATGAGGAACTCACGTCGTGGGCTGACTCAGGAAGGCGTTCTTGTGGAGTCTGTACGCCGTGTGGCTGTTGAAGGAGCCCGGCTCCATGGAAACGCCTTTCACGGAACTGTAGGTCTTCTCCGTCAGGTTGAACGCCTCGAGCATCCTGAAGCCTGAAACACAACACGTCGGGAGATTAGTGTTTACATGAGACGACGTGGGAGTCATCGAACCTTTTACTGCACAGAGGGACATTTTAAAAGCGCAGCAGGTGATTTGAGTTCTTGATGAATGAATCATTTCTCACCCGGTGAAGTGAATCCATTCAGGAAAATCAGGGGACACGCTGAGGAACGAGAAACCAAGACATTTAGATTTTCTGAAACAGCTTCTGTTGTGGGTCAGTAAAGTTTGTGTGAACTCACAGGACGTTGCAGTTTCACAGATGAAGGTGATCAGGTTTTCTTTGATGGTGTCAAAAGCATCAAAGTCGTCTACGACAAAGACGTGTCTGTCGCTGGGTTTGCTGCCGATCTCCTGCAACTCCACAAAGTCCACGTCGGCGACGCCGATGGCGAAGACGCTGTAACCTGAGGAACGCACATTCACAGGCAGACTGATTACAAACCAGCAGAATGAAACTAGAGATACAAATATCATTTCAAACTTTTAGCGGAGCAGTTCCAGTAAAATGCATCCGTCAGGTTGAATCTGTTTCTGTTCTCACAGTGAAGGGAAACGGCTCTGATGTCGACTGAGGTCGTTCCAGCGACCTTCATGTGCAGTACCTGAATGCTGAAGCTTGGCGGCGCTCTTCTTCACCTCGTCCTGAGATCGTCCGTCTGTGATGGAGACGACAATCTTGGGGACGTTTCTCCTCATTCCGTTCTCCATTGAAAAGGCCTTCTCGTAGGTGTGTTTCAGGGCCATTCCTGCTCCACAGAGACGAGAGAAGCTTCAGAACAATCCACCAGAGACACTGGAGCGGGTTAGACGTGTGTGAGGCGTGTGAGCGAACCTGTCTTTGTGTTTCCTCCTCTGTAGCGAATGTGATTAAGTGACGCCATGGCCACACCTTTGTCTTGGTAAGCTTTCAGCATGAACTCCGTCTTCGCGCTGTCGCTGTACTGGACAAACGACACCTGTTGGGAAAGTCACATCGACACGACATTAGTGAGACGTCACGTTCACAGAGCGAGATTCTGCACAAGGAGAAGTGAAACAGGTCCTGGCTCCTTCCTCCTCAGCACATTTCAGCTTCACTACTTTATTAACTTTCACATAAACGTGTGCAGCGTGATGCAGAGGTGCACATTTGATTGTTGGATCAACATTTTAAAATCCAAACCTGCATTCCGGAGGGTCCGATGACATCGAAGGCTCCGATCATGTCGGAGACGAAGTGTCGGACCTTGGTGAAGCTCTCCTCGCCGATGCTCCAGGAGCCGTCGATGAGGAACACCACATCTGCTTTGGCACCTTTGCAAACTGAGGCAAGAAAAACAAGTCGTTATGGTTGTTGAACGTCCAGCGGTCAGACCCTCGGCAGCATCACAAGGAACCAGCAGAGAAAACTGCATCATCCTGCTGCATAATTGTTGTTTGTGAGCCTGGAAGCATTAAAAATAAATCAGCTGAGAACGTGAAACAAAACAAAACCATCGGGAGAAGCGATGCTCCGGTTTCATCTGATAATAAAAAAAAACATTTGGTCACCAGAAGAGTGAAATCCAGCTCTCGTTAATGGATTCCTCTCAGACGAACACGAGTCGGATAAAAAGCTTTGAATAATCTTTCCCTTATGTGACGCAGCGTATTTTCCAATCTTCTCCATCTTTACTTTTCATAAATAATGATTTACACAACATGGAGGATAGAAAAATATCATTTGGACTGGAGCGTCTCCCAGTGGAACATGTGTTGGCTGTTAATTCAGTGTTAGCGTGACACAGACGCAGCAGGAGTCAAAACCAGTCTGAATGAAAAGTCTCGATGGGTTCGGTCCTGAAGGATCCATGTTTCCATCGGAGGGTTTTAATGAAACATGGTCTTTGTTGAACCGGCTGTTGTGTGTGGTTCTGTCGAGTTCATGCTTCTGTTAACTTTAGAAAACTCTCCGCTGTGTTGTGAAACCTGCACTGAGTGAAATACAGACAGATGTGAGAACTGATCTGAGTTCAATTGAACATTTTGTTCCATTCCGAGGAGAGAAAGTTTAAGAAAATATAAATCTTTGGTGATATTTCAGAAACGCTTCTTCTCTCCCCTCTGAGTCTGAAGCTTCGTGCGTTTGTTCATGTTTCATTTGATCTGTTTTAGTTTCACATTGTAATTTAGAGACTAAAGAATTCTGTCGGACAGACGTCCTGTCACATGCTTACCTGCCCATGCGGGGGGGATGGTGGGCGGAGGTGTTGGGGTCGGTGGGAGAGTTGGAGCTGGAGTTGGCTTCACCACTGCAGAACAACAGAGTCATCGTCATATCGGGAATAAATACAGAAGAGTAAACAAGTTGGATGAAGGATCAGGATCAGATCGGATGAGGTCACTTTTGTTTTGTGAATCTGAGGCGACAGGATGTGGACACTCACGTGTTCTCTCTTTGGCGCTGACGCCCGGTCCCTCCAGGTTTGGCGTCTGAACGAACACGGTGGCGGTGTACAGGGCGTCGGGTGAGAGTCCGTCGAAGCAGTACTGAGGCAGGCCGGCGGGGATGGTGATCTCATGCTGTCCTTTACTGGAGGCTGCAGAGGAAGTACACGTGTTTACTTCACCAGTCGTCAGCGTTAGATTTGAAATCTGAACAAAAACATGTTCGTTATTATCCTGAACAAAAAAAACTATTATTTGAAACCACATGATTGGATCGAAGACGGTAAATAAAGACGTGACTTCTTCAGTCTTTGAAGACGTTTCTGGTTCTTTGGGATATTTTTCAGTAACACTGGTGTTTAGGTGAAGAGTCGTGAAGCTAAATCGAAACCTCCTGATCAATTTATTGGTTTAATATCGATATGGAACGAGTCAGTTGGAGCGATCAGAGGGAAACACTGACGCGTCTTCTGTGACTGGAGCCACGGACTGACATCAGGACAACACTGACGTCTGGAAACTCTTGGCCCTGTCGACCACACCCTGAACATTTCTTTGTTTTAAAATCTGAATCACCATCAAAGATTAATGGAAGTGATGAAAACAGATATTTACTTGTTTCGTGTTTCTTCTGGAGTTTGATACGATTGTTGATCTCTAACAGTGACTCAGAGATTACTTCCCCAGGTGTTTACACATCTGGCCTGTGATCTGAGAAAACCTCTGCCTGCGCCTCAACGAGAAATACATCTCCAAAAAAACCAAAAGACAGAGAAACTTTTGTGAACGTCCCCGATACCGGACGACGGTTTGATGTGTCCGAAAAATAAAGTGCACGAGCTGCGGACGGAAGCATCGTGAATTCTTCAACGCAGGAGTAGTGGAAGATATTTACTTATATACTTCACAGACTTTTCTCTAAGATCGACATCGTTGCTGAATAACTGATAGAACTGTTGCGTGAATCTCAAAACTCTTTGTCAACATGTCTGCGATGGAGGAACCTAACATGTGACCCTTCCAGGGAAGTGTTTACGTCTCTGCGTGGCTGGGCAGTGATATATTCATAATAAGGTTTCCTATTTACACTGAGCGCTCCGGTCAGCACAAACAAACAAAGCCTGTTTATTGCAGAGACAGCTGCCACGCACGAGGAAGAGACGTATCAGCGCGGACGACTTTAAACAAGACGGGTGTCGTCATTTTCTTTCAAACGACAGAGTCCAGCAGCTCTGATGATCCAACACGTTCAGACTGAGCTCTGTAATATCAACACGTTACGCTGGAGGTGACTTCATGTGAACTGTTCCGAGAAACACACAGAGTCAGATGGACTCCAGAACAGTGGCCCTCATTCATCAACATATTAGATACACACAGATTTCAACAGTGAGTGATGTTGACAAGAAACAATCCCGGAGACGTGTCAGAGGGATATTAGATGGTTCTGCGTCTTAAAAACCTGGCAGCCTCACGTTCTCCTCTAACAGTGTTCTACAGTAAGATGGAAACATCAGTGTCCATGTTTTTCTGCTCTCCCTCTTTCTCTCTGTTTGCATTTCCACCTCGGCGCAAACAGTTTGGGGACCTGAGAGCATCGTGGAGTGTTTCTGCTCCTCTGCTCGTGGTTAAACCCGTCGTCTGTCTCACGCTAAAAGACCCACGTTCGTTCTGACATCTTGTCTTAATGACTTCCATACAGATGTTTAAACATCCATGCTTGTTTCCTGGGCTTTCCTGTTGTCTAACTGCTAATCCGTGTCCAGGTGTGAATCTGAACCAGATGGGAATCAAAGACCAGAGCAATCGAAAAAGAATGTTATCTTCTGGTGGTCGGCCGCTTTCAATCCAGGCCAAACCTTCGGCCCTGCCTTGAGTAACGATCACGAGGAGGAGGCCTGGACACAAACAGACTCTGAGAGGGGGAAAGAAAAACGCCCAGACGTGATCTGACGTCACCGACACGCTCTGCTCAACGCCTGAAATCACGAGAAGCGTCCACATCCGCAGAGATGAGCTCATCTGGAGATTCACACATGTGCTGGGAGTCTTATCGCAAACATCACGTCAGCTTCCGTCAGGAATCGACTGCGATGGAGGACCACAATCTGACGTGCTAGCAGGGAATCCTCCGATCGACTGCGACTGATGAGAGATCTACTCCAGGTTCAATCAATTAGTCGTTCCTTGCAGTTTTAACATCATCAGAGCTGAATCAACAACTTTTCTCATTCTGCATTGATTCATGTCAGATCATTAAAAGATGAAGGAGACTCACGGTCGGCTGGGTTGAGTTTGATGCGGTACGACGTGGCCGACCTGTGAGGAGTCCACTTGATGCAGAACTTGTCGTGATCGACGTTGTAGGTCTCGATGTTGGTGACGTTCAGGTAAACTGGAGAGGACAGAGACTCAAAGTTATTTTCTGGGGTTTACAGTGACGGTGAGCGAATGAATCTTCTCAGTCATCAACCAGAACAAGTCCCACAGAGATGTCAGGTCTCAGACCATCATGGATTAATAACCTTCACTTAATTAGTTAATGTGGCTCATGTTTCTCGACAGACAGACTCGTTCACACAGGTGCTGTACGTACGTGTGGTTCCCAGTCCAACGAGCGGTGCGCTCAGACCGCCGGTGTACTGAGCGATGACTTTGACGTCGTAGGGGGTTCCAGGCTGCAGGTTGTGCAGCGTGTAAGAGGAGACGTCGCCCACAAACATATCCACCCACTGGTTCGTGCCTGTGAACACGACAAAGTTAAATCACTGCAGTTGTTCAACCAAAGACAAATCCAAAAAATTGTAACGAGCAAATAATGTTAATACACATTTTCGTAAACATGTAGGTTTTGTTGAGTTTGACTAAAACTAACTTTTCATTTTGACCTTAATCAAGACATTGGTTTTCTTTGAGCTCAGACGTGAGCAGCACCAGCGTTCGTCCGCTCACCTTGAGGAGAGTAGATCAGCTTGTAACCCTGGACAGGCGCCGCCACCGGGTCCCAGGACACTCTGAAGCGGGTGTACCACTCATCCGAGACGCGAAGGTTCCTGGGGCTCAGGAGGCCGACTGAGAGAAGACACGTCCACACAAAGAGTTTGTCTCGGAAACAAAACACCACAACTCTCCTGATCCTGGGACTCTTTGTAACGTGTCTGAACGTTGTTAAATTAACTATATAAATAAAAAGTTTCATATCAGAGATGTAATCAGATTCCTCGTTTCCATGTGTGCGCAGCAGAACGACGAACCTGGTTTTTGTCTGTCTTGTATAAAATGACTCACTGATTCAGAACCAAACAGTAAAACTAAACTAAAACCACTTCTGAATGAACATCTCCTGCCTCGTCAGTAACGACTCATGTGTTTCCTTCACATCTGTTCATTAAATCCATTTTATTTATATATAATTCTCTAGAATGTGGCTCTTTTCCACGCCACACTTTCTTAGTGTCCATAATGTTTGTATAACTAAAGCTGCCTCTAACCAGCCGAGCTCCCGGGGCTCACACCTCGTCACACAAACACGCGTTGGCACGTTAATGTTCGTCTACTGGATTTATTTTCCCTCCTGAGCGGCTGACTCACGCTGCAGTGACTCAGATACTGATGAGAGTGAAGTGTGAGAGGCCTCTCTTCTTCTCTTCAGTCTGATAGGAACACTTCGACCGTGACCAGCTCCTCACCTGTGCGTCCGGGTCCGTTGAGCGACCCTCCGGGCCCCTCGGCGTAGATGGCCTCCACGGTGATGTTGTACGGGGTGTCTGGTTGCAGATTCTGCAGCATGGCGTTGTTTCTGTTTCCAGGAACCACAGTCTGAGGGTGAAAACACCGCAGCGTCAGACGTCTCCACACACTGGAGGATCATTTCATACCATAATGACCCTATTTACATTCAGAGGTTATCCACAGAAACACAAGCTCCAGATGTATGTTGTGACAGCACTTTGACTTCCTGCTCTGCTCTTACACATGCTAATAATCAGCTGGGGGGGGGGGGGGGGGGGGGGGGGCTTCCTCCATGTGTTGTCACGTATGTGCGTTCACACACGTCCGCTCACTGACACATCTGATGCTCCACACATCCACATCTCATCTCAGCTAAATTATGTTTCCGTGCATTAATCAGTTTCTTTCAACCTCCTGACATGTGACTGAATCAAACGCGTCTGTGTTGATCTGATCTGGGACCTTCACGGGGCCACAGTGGTTTAGTGTTTAATGTCATCGTGTTCCACTTCTCAGATGATGTGAGTCAGATTTCTTTGGAAACACCAAGTCCTCTGATTCTTAAGCATCTACTTCCTCCTCTCAAAGTTCGATCAGTGCAGGAGGAGACGCACACAGAAACCAGTTGTGGACTGTTTGTGGTTGTTGGATTAGCTGTGTTTGTGTTGCGACCGGTTGTTGTTGGATCAGCTGGTTAGACGCAGCTAGTTTCAGGGTCTCCTCCATCTTGGCTCACGATGAAAAGTACAACCAACCAGAGCCAAGTGGGGTCAACTTGTTTTTGCTGTTGATTGAGGCTGCGATGTTGAAATCTGCAGATTTCCTTCGGGACGCCTCCTCGCTCGCACAGACTGAAGGTGAACAGAAGGTGAAGGCTCTCTACTTGTACATTCACGTGTTTGTGTCTGCAAAATCAGGAAAGTAGTGAAATAGTTTCCCCTCAGAGAATCAGGACTTCATGGTTTCCATTCCTTCAGCAGAATAATCTCTAATAGACAGGAAGGAATTCTTTTCCACAAAATGTCACTTCATCTGGATTATTGACTCAAACCTTCTCCATTACTCACAGATGCTCTTTTTTTAATAATTATCTGTATTTAAAATGCTTATTGGTTCTCAAGTCATTTCCCACTTTGGAGAAATCCTTTCATCGCCTTCCCTCCGCTGCTGACAGCTGACTCATAGTGAACAGGTGCTTCGCTAACAAGCGGGGGGGAAGCGCAGCTGGGCCGTCTCCGCCCTCCACCTCGGCTCCAGCTTGTTATTTAGGACCATTAATAACGTTATTATGGCCCAAATTGCACTGTTTGTTTAACTGAGCCTGTAATTATTCTCACTAATCTGTGATTTGTAACCTGAACGAGCCAAAGGAATCCAGAGATGTGACTTCACTGCATAGTTTGAGGTGAACGCAGCCCGGAGAGAGTGTATCGAGAGTTTATCTGAAACGTTTATCCAAAACAAAAAAGAACAATTACCTGAAAACTACCTCTCACGACGAGAAAAAGGCTCGAGGTCCACATTTAGAGCTACTGAAGCCGGTAATTGTCGTTAAACAAGATTAGACGGAGTTTCTTTCAGAAGAATCTCAGCTGAATATAAATGTTCCGTCTTAGACTTACAAACTCAGTGATGGGGTCTCCGGTCATGGGAGCGTAGGCGATCCTGTACTGCCTCACCGGGCCCTCGGCGTGGTCCCAGCCGATGGTGAGGGTGCTGGTGGTGGCATCAAACACACGCATGTTCCTGGGACCGGCACGTGGCACTAAAAAGAAAACATGCCAGATTAGGTTGTTTACTTTTTCAGTTAAAAAAACTTAAATGAATAAAAACCAGAGTTTATCTCAAATATTCAGCAGGAAACTTTTAAAACGTGAAGAATTCTAAACTTTTGTTACAGCAGCAGCTCCTCTGGTTCAGGAAGCAGAGGATCATGGGTAATATATTGGTTGCTGTTGCTCAGTAAAACATAGCGTTGCTTTATGATTGGCACTTCCACTTCTTGTAGAGAGCTGTTCAGGCATTCAAGTAAACCTCAACATATGAGCTCGTCGGTGAACTTACGTGTTTTGCCGTTGCCGTTCACCGGTGATCCCTCTCCGTCGGCGTACATGGCTGAGACGCTGACGGAGTAGGGAGTGTCTGGGATCAGGTTGTCCAGGAAGCCGTTGTTAATATTTCCTGGAACCAGAACCTTTTACAGAGAAACAAAAAAAAACCACAAAGGGTCAAAAAAATATATGGACCCCATCGTCATGGCAGCCGCAGTGTGGAGGCGTCTCCGATTCGAATGTGCCTCCTCATGCATCACACAGAGATCTGGCTTTGATAATGTACATAATGACCTCACTGCTCATCCCATATCCAGTTGTCTCCTGCTGCCAAAGTTTCCCTCAAACACTAACAAAGGCACGGGAGGTTGGATGCCAAACAAATCCTTCATTCAGTAAGTGGACTGACGGATAAACAGTTTCTGCTGAGACGCGGCTGGAGAGTGCGGAGCTCTGTCATCGGCTGAGACACGGAGATGACTGTGGAGCGTCTCCAGTCACTGGGATTATCACAGCGTTGCTCACCACGGTTTGTGGGCCATGGAAATCAGGGTTATGACATCATTGGGATGAAATCCGCTGGTTGAACTCGGTGCTCATCAAGAGAATTTGATTCGGTTTGAAAGAAAACATCTGAGACCAGATCTCACAAATGACAGAGCACGCTCACCTGCTGGAGGTTAAAGCCCCCCACTGAACTCAGGTCTGACCACAGGACGGACGATTCACTCATTGGTTAAGGTGAATTTAAGTGGGAGGAGCCAAATGATGCCAGCTCTTCAGAGTAATCAAATCAAAATACTTCATGAATCTGACGACGATCTTTTCAGATCATTGCCCCAAAAAACACTTGAAACTAGAGATTGAGACATAAACTCAGGAAAATGTTTATGACGTTACAAAGTGAGAAGTAGATTTTCTATAGACTTATATAGGAACTACCATTGGAGTCGCCCCCTGCTGGTCAGAGAGAGAACGCAGGACACTGACGCAGTAGCTTCACTTTTCAGACCTGGAGTCTACATCCTCGCCATGCCTCTTTAATAACTTCTTTAAAACATTATCTTCCCACGCTGACGAATGAAAGCAAGTCGAGGAACGTGTGGCAGCGGAAACACGTCTCCTTTGTCTTCTCTTGTTATGAACTATGACTGATGTTAAGGGTTGTGGTGGCTGTGAAACTTGTGCTGTTGTGACTGAATGGGTGTGAATCCCTGCAGCCAGGCTCCAAATTCATGTGGTCATAGCTGCAGACTCACGAGGGTGGTCTGGAGATGAGAGGCTTAACGATCACGATCAGTGAGGTTGAACCGAACCAATGGAAGCACTGCGTCTGAGGAACATCAGCTGAGTTCGTCTTGTTACGTCTCTGTTTATCTTTGTGTCTCTGCTCAACTTCCTCCAGACCAAAGCAAAATCAAAGAAAGTTGAAATGAATGAAAAGAGAAACTGACAAAGAACGACAGAAAGTGTGAGACACTGTTGGAAGCTCACAAGCGTCACGACAGCATGAGCAGATTCAAGCGTCGTGACCCCAGACAACCTCAAACCTCAGGCTCTCCCTGATGTCAGTCACAGATGTGTATCAGTCAGAGTTGAAAATCTTTGTCGGGATAATAAAACCCTCTCTTCTCTCTCTGCATTCCAGACATTTGCACTGGAGCATGAAATCAGAGCTGATGGAGAGATACAAAAAAACTGACAAGTCATGATTTCCATATTACCACAATTACTGCTGCGCAAACATCTGTGCAGCATCAAAACCAACACTGAGGGAAACAAATAGTTCCAACCAACAGGGACCACCTGTTGTTTTCATGGAATAAACTGAGTGAAACCAGTCAAAGCTCCGACCCCCACTTTGATTTCATTTGATTTATGCCATATTGTATAATATGTTTAGTCTACAATCAGTTGATACAGATGTATTTCACAATTTCAAAGTGCCATCAAGAAAGTCTCAAAGTCCTGGTTATGGAATCAAGCACCAAGTGTAGGACAACAAGTTTAAAGTGTTAAGACTGGAACCAAGTCAAGAACCAGGTTAAGATCCAAAGTCAGGACCAACGAGGTCTAAGTCAGACACTGAGACTCCCAGGTCAGGATCTAGTCTGAGTCAAGAACCAGGAGACAAGGACTGAGATAAAGTCCCATCTCAAGAGTTAAGTCAAGACTTTAAAGACTTGAGTAAAGTCTTAATCAAACAGTTTCATGTCTTTAACGACCTTTCACCACTTCAATCATCGGTTGTCTGAAGTGAAGAGTTTATTTTAAATCGGGCGTCAGTGGAGTTGATGTCAAAGTCGGGTTACAAGTCTTTTCATGATCAGTCTTTTCAAGTCTGACTGAACTTTACTTTGAATTGAGTAGATTTCACAACTTGCTGTAGTTCTTTCTGATGAGCTGACGTCTGCTGATTGACAGTCAGTCGTAAACCTTGGATTCTGTGTTTTGGACATTTTAAAGACAAAACAAGCAGTAGATTACCAGGAGAAACAATCAGTGGATTACTCAGATATCTGCTCTGATATCGTCTTATCTTAAAACAAGCAGAACAAGCAGCTGGAGGGCTTAAAGTTTATTCCAACCTAATTTCACTTATCTCAAGAATTTCCTGGAGGCACGAAACATCCGACAAGTTGAATCACAACGAAAATATTCATTATAAGATCCCACAAGCAGATTGAAAAAAAAAACAACATGTCAGAGTTTGTTATTTTTGTCTCTACAGTCTTTGCTCTGATCCTTTCCCCTTGTGAGCACAGACGCCCCTGAGGCCGATTCCGCAGCTAATGACAGTTTGAGTTTTAAGAGCCTGGAGAGAGTTACTCACCGACCCCGTGGATCTGGTTCCGCTGAGGGAGGAATACACCACGCGGTACTGCTGAACCTGGCCTGTGGCGGGCTCCCAGCGCACGTTCAGGCTGTTGGGGGTGGGGTTGTACACCTGGATGTTCCTGGGTGGCGTGCGTGGAACTGCAAAGGTCACAGAGGTTAAGAGAAAGTGAGGAAGACTCTCATCGCTCGGCAGCAGTCGCCACATATATTTAAATTTTTAGACATTGTCAGCGATTTTCCAAAGAATTTCTGGATCTGGATGAAAACAAAAGAGAAGTCTGTGTGGATCCAAATAAGAATCTAAAATTCAAATTAAATCCAGATCTAGTGGATTTGAATGAGGACTGTTGATCCCTAAGTGCTTTTCTACTTGTGTCTGAGTCTAAAATAAATACGGGCTGATTTCTGTTGGAATATTTGTCAGAAAATGAACTAATATCTCTGGTTTTTATGTAGAAATAAAAACATTTGATAGAGAATTGAATCGTCATTTCTGTTTTACAGAATCTATCAAACCGGAGGTTGAGTTTAAACGCTGAGCGCAGCAGAAACCTCCTGCAGGGACGGGTCATTTTTATTTGTGTCTATGTGCAGAGAGAAGTAGCAGAGTTTTGAGTTTATGCAAAAGCCCTTAACTCCCTTTTAAACCAAACCAGATGTGCACGTCCCCCTGGAGCTCTACTCGATTAAAAAACACTCGATGCAATAAAAAGACGTAAAAGGTAGCCTCGTCCTCAGGAGGAAAAAAACCTCCAGAGCAGAAACCGTCCTCCAAATGTTGTGTAACCACTTAAAAACATCATCATTCAAACGCGTCAGAGCGCAGAGGACAGCGTCCGTCAGGATGTTTGATGTTTTCATCCGGGAACAGAATGAGCTGCTATCCTGCAGAGGGATGATGTCATCCTGCTCTAATTTTCTGTTATTAATCGTTTTACAGCAGCGACTGAAATTATTCCTCAGTTTGGACTGAAGTGTTGTTTTTGTCCAAACTAAATGTGACAAATTTCCCCAGGGAAGAGAACAGTAAAACTGGCCTGAGCTGGTGATAATAAAAGATGATTAACGTCGCACAGAGACTCATATTCACTGACAGACGGAGGCGCACAGAGCAGCAGATGGTTACATGTCCATGTCTCGCCGCAGCTCACACGTGTGACTCCGAACACACACACCCTTCTGCTACACAACCATTTCAAACCTATGTCTGTTTTGGTTTTCACTTTATAAAATCACATTTCTGCTGCTGAACAAAAAAGACTCTGAGACACTGAGTTGGAGAAAAGCTCAGTTTCCTCAGGAACTGTTGAGATGATGAAATATTTCACTTCAACTAAAACCTGAGCCCAACTTCCTAACACCCCCCCCCCAAACCACAACCACCACCTCCGCAGCTCTAACCACTGGGCCGACGTCCTGGAAACACCAGTTCGACCAATTCAGCTGAGTTTTAAACTATGAAAGACCAAGGAAGAGCTCCGCAGCAGCAGGTTGTTATCTGACTGGATGACGCCAGGTCACGTTGAGCCAAGTTGAGCCAGATTCAACTTTTTCTTCCAAGACGACCTTGTGCTTTTCTTTTTTCGCTCTGCGTCAGCATTTTGCTGTTTTCTGGATGAGGAGGATTAGAGGGCTGTGTTTTTCCACGCAGTTGTAAAGTCAGTCTAAACATGGCCGCACATCGGTAACAGCGCCGACGGCGTCTGGTGTGTAAAGCTACAAACTCGGCTCGTGTTCGGTTGCTTTCAAATGATTCATCAGAATCTCTCTGACTCCAGTCACGTGCTCCGTGTTGTTGAGCCGATTGTGAGCAGAGAGGGAAAGTGTTGCAGTAACATGCACGAGCTAAAGACCAGGAGGGAAGAAAACTACCACCTTGAGTCGAGGATGTTGAAGAACCAGGTCTTTGCTGTGTCTATG